TTTTTTTTTTGGTTGTTACCAATTTTTTTGATTCTGATTCTGCTTTCCAATTTCATTTTACACACACAACACAACGAATGAAACTAACAAAAAACTACTCGTCATCGAGCAATAAAAGCCTCTTAATAGTTTGACAAAATGACAAAATAGTGAAAAAGAGCAAATAGGAAGAAGAAAGCAGAAAAAATATATAAGTAGTGAATTACAATGTGATAAAATCCATTTTTTCTTTTCGTTTGATAATGTTATCATCATTTTGATTCATTATTTTTTGTTTTTTTTCAATTTTTTTTCTTTCTGAATGTCAAATTCTGATGATGAAAAGGAGACAGAATTGAATGCAGAATCATTAAATAATAGAATCGGAAGAGAAGAACGAAGTTCTCATGTTACAAATTATTTTCAAGTATCAAATTATGATTTTTTGTTTTGTTTGTTCCGTTGGCTACCCATTTGTTTGATGATGATGATGATGATGATGAAGTGAGGAAAGAATTTATGAATATAGTGTGTGTGTGTGTGTCTTCATCATCATTTTCTGTTTTTGCTTTTGGTTTTTGGCTTCTTTTGGTTTTCCCGATTATAATCATGATAATAGAAACTAAATGTATTAGAGTTTGTTGGGGGTGGTGAAAGAAAGAAAGTTCAAACTTAATGATATTTTCAGTCATTTTTTTTTCTTTTTTGTTGTTGTTGACCTAGCCAGGATCATTTCAATTCAATAATGTAATTAATTTTTTTTGTTTTATGATGGATGTTAGATGGCCACCATCAACCACCACCACCATCATCATCAGTGAATATGGAATAAGGTTTTGTTTGTTTGTCTGTGAAAATTCATTTCAATTTCAATTTTACAGAAAAAAAAGAAAATTTACGAACAAAATTCACTGAAAATGAATGAATATTGTCCTATATTGTATATATACTCGACACACATCCATCTCAATCAATATTTTTGTTGTTTTTCTGTTTTCGTTTTTTTCACTGTCATCATCAATAATAATTTTTGTTTTTATTCCCAGTGAAACAACATGAACAAACAAACAAGCAACGATCCAACAAAACAAAAACAAAAAAAAAAACTTATTCATGCATACATACACACACACAGAATATTCAACAGAAGAAATGAGAATTTTCTCACTAAAAAAAAACTTTAAACTTGAAATAAACGTAGCTTTAAATATTCGCAAAAACAACATCTCAACGAAGGAAAGAAAAAATGATAGATTCTTATTCTTTATTCATAAGACACATTGTGAATTTATTCTCATTGTTTACAGCGGAGGAAAAACAAAACAAAACATTTTTTTTTACACAGAACGAAAAGGAAAAAGATTGTGAAAATGTCACACACAACAACAACGATGATTGAGATTTGCTGCTTCATGTTTCCTGTCAAATTAATATTTTTTTTCAGTTTTTTGTTGGGATATAATTTCATGACAAGAAAACAACAACACTGGATCACCTACTAACCCCAAACAAACAAAACAAAACAAAAACAAAAACAGCGATGAGAATTTGAAACAATTCAAGAGTAAAATTGAAAAAAAAATGATAAAGTGGGTGCTATAAATAGGGGGATCAACAACAACAGCAACAGCGAAAAAAGTCTAATTTTCTTCTTGTTGTTTTTTCCATTGAAAAAAAAATACATTTTTTATCATTTTCATCTGAAAACAAAAAAATGTTTGCAGGGCACGTTTGTATAGGAACCCAAAACAGAGAAAAAGAATCATCGTCCGTTAAAACAAACACAAACTAAAAAATAAAGAATCCGTGTGTGTGTTGTGTGAATGAAAGAATTTGTTCTGCTTTCAAATCAAACGTAGCGTCGAAAAGAAAAACGCTAAAATAAAATCACATTGATGATGAATGTAAATTGTATAGAAAAAAGAGAGAAAGAGAAGAAAAACATAACATTCATTGTCCCATTTTCATTGATTTTTTTTCATTATTTGTTTTCCATTCCTTTTCTTTTTGTTAGTTCTGAATAAATATTATCATTTTGCTTGTTGTTTGTCAATGAATGAATGAATGAATGTGAAAAAAATGGTAATGTTTGATATCTTTCTTTCTGTTGTTGTTGTAGCAAATCTATACACCGAAAATAACCATAGGATTCATTTCATAACCGGGAGCTTTTGTTCACACCTTTATTTTTATATGGTGATCGCTATGATTGATGAATTTTAATGTTTGGAACAAAAGAAAAGGAAAAAAACACACGAAATCATCAATATGGAAAAACAAAAATTGAAATTCTTTAGAAAAAAAATCATTTTTTTATTATGAATTTTTGTGTAACGAAATGAAAAAAAAAATATTGATGTTACACTGATGATATGAAATTAAAATTAATTTTTTTTTGTTTTTGTAAAAATTGCTTTTTAGGGCAAAATTACAACACAATGATGCTTACAAAAATAAATACTGAATGAATGAATGAATGAAATGAAATGTTTATGATGTTGGATTAACTTTATATGCATAAAATAATTCTAATGGTTTATTTATTTTCCAATATTGTTCATCAACTTGTGCTAATGTTATTGATCCTTGTAATGGATTATATTGTCCAGGTCCTGCTGCTATATATAATGTAAATGGAAATGCCGATGATGATGTTGTCGATGAATTTGATGTTGATTGATTTGTATCATTCATTTTTGAATTATTATTCATTGATTTATCAACAGATTTTGTTACATTTGTATCTTTGTTATCAACCACATCATTATCATTATCGTCATCATTATCATTATTACGTGTACCATCATCTTCAGATGATTCAAAATTATAACGCATTTTTAAATATTTTGCAATATGATTGATTGTTGCTTTTGTTGTTGTTTTCATAAATCTTGTTTGATTCAATGATGGATCCTATATTTGAAAAAAATAGCAATTAAAATGAGAAGTAAAAAACAAAACTGAAAATTTACTCTTCGTTCAACTTGTGGTAATGGTTTAATGATTAATTCAATTTCCTGTATATTATTATCAGTATCTTGATTGTCAACATTGTTTGTTTCATTTGAAAAACCATTCGAATCAGGTCGTATTCGTCGATTTTCAACCGGATCTATAATAAAATAAATCATATAAGGAATTCAATTTAAAACAAAAATTTCTACCACAAACCTTCATCATTATTCAATGATCTTTTACCACGAGTACGATTTAATGCTTGCATACGTAATGTTTCTTCAATATTTTGTACAAAATGTTTATTAACACTATTGATAACTCTTTCCTGTTGGGCATCATATTCTTCACGACTTGGATAAATTTTCGATATTAACATATCAAAATTTGGATCAGCACGTAATGAACGTTTTGATATAAGTTTTTTACGACATGTTGGACATTCTTTATTACCACTACGTAAAGCGGTAATTATACAATCATGACAAAAACGATGCAGACATTCTTTTGTTGTCATTGTTGATTTTAACATATCCAAACAAATTGGACACATTAATTCTGAATGTAAACTACGTGGACTAACAGCAATTTCAGTATTATCAGTAATAACTTCTTGTGGTTGTCTATGTAATTCATATGGACTTAATTCCCATGTTTTACCGCCAAAATTTATTGTTGAATCTAATTGTGACATTATTATTGTTTTTTGTCAACCGAAAAAATTATTTATCAAATCGAATAAAATATTCACGTTCAATGGATATAATTTCAAGAAAAAAACTTTTTTGTTTGGTTCAAATATCGTATTGTTTTGGCCGAAACAAACAAACAAACAAAATTACCGATCGGTTTGTTGATGATGAGCTCATAACGATACAAAACGAGGTATTATATTTTTGCTCGTTCGTTTAATGCCGTGCTTTTTTTTTTTGTACGACGCATGCTTAGAAATGAGCAAAATCGAACACATTTTATATGAATGGATCACCATTGTTTCTCGAGATACTGTTGATCATTGATTTTTGGGAGTATCCATTTGTTTTTTTTTGTTGTTGTTGTTTGACAATTGCATCCGTCTATTATCCTGATTGCATTCAACAAATTTTTTTGTTGTTGATCATCATTTGAGCAAAACATTAAAGGTTGACCATTGACAAACAAACGAAACAATCAACAGTTATGGTCATGGAAACAGTAATAGTGGATCCAGAATTAAATGAACATCATCATCTTAATTCTAATGGTCAATCACAACAACATTCAAATCTAGAAGAATTATGTTCATTATTACGAAATGAAGTTCCTGAATCTAGACAAACATTATTGGATACACAATCAAATTTGGAAAAAGTTGCTGATTATTGTTCAACAGCATATCTTGAGGTAAAATTTGATTGTTTTTTGTTTCGAATCATTGAAAAATAATGTTTTTTTTGTTCATTGTTCAGGCTGATGATAAACGATTAGCATTTGAAAATACAAAAAATTATACAACACATTCATTAGCATCGGTTGCTTATCAGATAAATACATTGGCATTTAATGTTTTGCATATGTTGGATTTACAAACAAATCAAATATCCGAAATGGAATCACAAATGAATTATATTTCACAAAAATTTCAATTTCATAATGAAAAAGTTGCCCGACGTAAAATTGCATTACTTACATCGGCCAAAGCAATGGTTCGACAACCAAAAGTATTGATGCCAGCCAATCAGGAAAAACAATCCAAATATATTCGTAAACCAATTGATTTTAGTCTTCTTGATGATATTGGTCATGGTGTAAAAATTTCTAATCAATCAAGTTTTTTAAGAAGTTTAACAACAGCAAATACATCTGGTCGAATGAGTGGTGTACAAACATTGGGACCAAAATCATCAATGTCATCATTATCACATTATCATCATTATAATACATTAAGTGGTAGTGGACCAGCACCAACAACAAAACCACCAACACCACCACAAGCTATACGTTCCGGTTTTGGTACATTATCACGTTCAGCACAGAATAAAGAATATCGTGCATTAGTACCACCAATAGCACCACCACAAGTGCCAAAAAATTATGAATCTAATTATCCTATTGGTCATCCAAAAAGTTCTATTATACATAGACAATCAAGTACTACTGGTAGTATTGGAAGTGGAAATAGTGGTTATGCTGCTGGTCATCATCAATCTAATCATCAAAATAATAATAATAATCCACAACAACAACAACAATATATGGCCGGTTATTCAATTTATCATCCAGGATCATCTGCTGTTTCATTAAATTCAAATATGTATGGCGTACATACAGCAAATAGCCAACAAGTTAATACGAATTTAGATGATAATAATTGTCAACCATTACCACCACCTCCTATTGCTCAATTAGATCCAAATGATCCATTACCTGATCCACCATCTCCATCCAATATTCATCATCATCATCATCATCAACAACAACATCATAGTAATTATGATGGTCGAAATACAACAGGTATTTGAACGTTTTTTTCTTTGACTTAGGAAATGATTAATTTGAATTTTTTTTCATAATAGCATCACCACCATTACCACCACCACCTCCAACCGTTGATAATGTTCATGGTGAACATTCTTCAATGAATAAACAACAACAAATTTATGGTTTAACAAGCGCAAGACAAAATGTTCCTGATTGGGTACCTGCTAATTATATTGAAAAGGGTATGTTTAGGCGGTGGTCCCACTTGAACAAACTAAAAAAACTAGTTTGCCGGATCATGCTTGCATGATATGTTAAACTCGCCAGTTTGTCAAATCGCAAACTTTTCCCGTTTTCTACTTCCACAGTGCATTTTTCGGTTTAGTCTGTTTGTTAGTTTTTACAAGTGGGACCACGGCCTTAGAAATTCATTTTAAATTTTGCTCATTTTAAAAAAATTTTTAATTTTGTTCACAGTAATTGCCATCTATGATTATTCAGCCGATAAAGATGATGAATTAACATTTCAAGAAAATTCTGTTATCTATGTAACAAGTAAAAATGATGATGGATGGTTTGAAGGTATTATGAATGGTGCAATTGGATTATTTCCCGGAAATTATGTTGAACCATGTCTTTAAATGGAAAAAACAACGAATAACCAAAAACAATGACCATTTTATTAAGCATTTTATTTTATCTATAAAATTTCTTAAGTATTTTATATCGATGACAATATTGATGTAATTTTTTTTTAAATTTTTTTAAAATTACCTCTTTTTTTCTAATTAAATAAATTATTCACCTGTTGTAACGGCATTTTTTAATGGTCCCTTTTTTTATTATTATAATCCAAAAAATAACGAAATACGCATGCGTATAATATATTTTGACTCATAAAAATAAGTTGATTCTAAAATACAAATAACGAATTCAAGTGTGCTACCACCTTATATTCGACCATGACCACCACCACCATAATCATCATTGGTGAAAAAGCAAAGATTTTCATTCGATGACTTCCCTCCAAATATCCCAATAATCATTTTATTATCGTCAAAATGAAATGAATTGAAATCGTGTTAAAGAATTTATCCAAAACTCTCTCTGTTTATCCATTTTACTCATTGATTATTGAATGAACGCGCGTTGTTGAAAAACTTGCCACCACCACCACCATTATCATTATCTTTAGTCAATTCTCTCTCTTTCTCCCTTTTTTGTTACTAAAGTGGCAGCCACCACCATCAACATCGACGTCTTCGTCGGATTGTGTTCAACACAACACACACGCCCGATCAGGCAACCTGGATTTTTATTCTTTTTTGTTGTTGTTGTTTAATCAGTTTTTTTTATGGCTAAAAAGTGTCCAATTCAATTCATGAGAATTCGTTTGTTATTTTTGATTGATAAATAAAAATCGAGTTGTTTTTGATGAGAAGATAACCATCAAAAAAATCCGCTGTTTACGAACGATCCAGAAAAAGAATATCTGCTTTTTGTGTATGTGTTTATGTTTGCTTACATAATAATATATGTTTGCCGTAAGTGTTGACTTGGCGCCGACTCTTCTTCTTCGAGAATTTCTTTAAACACACTCATCATCACACATACAATATTTACTCAACTTTTGACCGCGTTGAAGACGAAAAAGTATTCTTGTTTGACGCTACGCCACTGATAATGATGTTGATGATGATATAGATGTGGTGCTCAACGTTTAAATGAAAATTTATAAACAAAAAGAATTCATCAAAAATACAACTCAAAAAAGAAAAGAAAGAAGAAACATCGATTATCGTCATCTTATATCGTCCATCACCATTAATACCTGTTCCAAATCGCCTTCATTTTACAATTTGATTTAAAAATTCTATTTGTCACCATCATCATCATCTGTCACTTGTTGTTGTTGTTATTCTTGTTGCTGTTGAATCTCTATATATATTATATCAGACAATTTATTTGTTCAATTCAAATTCTATATAATCTATTCAAGCCAGAAAGAAAGAAATCGTTATTTTATTGTCTTATTACACTTTTTTCTATCTATCTCTTTCTCTCCGTCGGAAAATACTCAAATCGCTACATTTGTTGTTTGTTAATTTGATTTCGTTTAAAAAAATTTGTCCAAATTTATTCAATAATGGCTGAGGTAAATAATATTTGTTTTCATAATAATATCTGATGATGTTTAATTAATGTTGTTTTTTTCATTACTTGAAGCCAAATACAAATGATTCAAATATCATTGGTAGTGGCGGTGGTGGTGGTGGTGGTGGAAGTGATAGTGATCAAGATTTTGATCCATCTGCCGAAATGTTAGTTAATGATTTTGATGATGAACATACAATGGATGAAGAAGAAGCATTAGCTGATGATGATGATGAAATTGATGATGAGCTTACTAATAAAGATGAAATTGAAAAATTGAATCAGGTAATTTTCGATTTGAATTAACTTTTTTCTGACTGTATATTATTATTTCCAGGAAAAAGATATTCCAATTGAAGAACTATTACGAATGTATGGTTATGATAAACCAACAACAACAACAACGTCAGATAATGTCGATCAATCAACATCGGATTCATCAAATTCAAATAATCTGACTAGTCAAACGCAAACATCTGTAACAACAGCGGCTACAACAGCTATAAATAATAATATAAATCAATTATTATCCGATTCATCGGATGATGATTCTGATGAAGATTTTTCTGTTAATGAAGATGAATGGAGAAGAACTATACAGGTTGGATCAGATTTTCAAGCAGTCATACCTGATGGTTTAAAACATTATGAACATGATTCTAATATTGGTCATAATAATATATTATTGTGGAAGCCACCTATATCATTATTAAATTTGGATGAATATTTATTAGAATATGCAAAATTATCGCTTTCAAGTGATGAAGATAGCCTTAATGATTTTGTATTACCTACTGGAGCACATATCAAAGATGATGAACAAGCATTATTTACATTATTTCAATGTAAATATGATATGAAAAAAGCATTATATTTACATGAAAATGATAATGAAACAAAGGCACCAATTAGTGAACCAATGACACCATGGTCAGAAGAAGAATGTCGTGCCTTTGAAAGTGGCCTTCGTGCTTTAGGTAAAGATTTCTATCAAATTAAACATTCACGTATACCAACACGATCAGTTGGTGAAGTTGTTTCATTTTATTATCTTTGGAAAAAAACTGAAAGACATGATATTTTTGCTAATAAATTTCGTATTGAAAAGAAAAAGTATTCATTACATCCAGGTACTACGTAAGTATTATTTATTTTCTTAAACTGATATTCTTCAATTTAATTAATTTGTTACATTATTTTTTTTCTTACAAAAACAAAGCGATTATATGGATAGATTCCTTGATGAACAAGAAAATGTATCGATTAATAATATACCATTAAATCAGAATAATAATAATAGCACATTATCAACAAGTTCAAATGTCCAAATGAATTCACAACAGCCGCAAACAACGCAAAACAATTCATCGAATCATCATAATCATAATCATGGTATGACTATTTCGTTACAACAACCATCATCATCATCTTCATCTTCGTCTAATCGACAATCATTACATTCTCGACATGCTCAACAAACAACACCATCATCATCACATTATCATCAACATCATCCTACGATTAATAATAATAATACGTCCATGTCACTTGGTCGAACTATACAAGTTTCAAATGAACCTCAAACAATACTTATTAATGATTATCATGTTTCAAGTAATGGTAAAAATTATAAATTGTAATCATTTTTTTAATTTGAATTATAATTCTGAAAATTTTTCAAACCAAAATTAGATGATAAACCAATTGTCGTTTGTACTGGTGGTGGATCATCATCTAATCATGGAAATTATTATGGATCAAATAGTGGTGAAACATCATCATCATCATCGAATACAAAAACAATTGTTGTTGGAAAAAATCCTATCATGATTGATGGAACATGGGTATCATCATCATCATCCTCTTCATCATCATCATTATCGGCAACATCATCTTCGGCAACAACAGCTAATCTTACACCATCGGTATCGATCTATAAAATACCACATACTACATCATCATCATCATCATCATTCAATCGTTGAACGAATTGAAATAAATGATTTTCTGATTATATTCTTTCCATTATTTTCACCCAAATATTATTTCTTTTTTTTCATGTAAATTTTTTCCCGATTGATTTTTTTTCATTTTTCAAAAATTCATCATCATTTTAGTTTATGATTGGACAGAAAACAAACAAGCCAGCCAGCCAGCCATTTATATAATGATTTTTTTTCTTAATTTTTACCTAATTAATTATCATTCCCTTACCAACATCTTTACCATTGATTAATTAATATATGTTTTCTGTTTGGTTACAAAAAAAAGAAAGAAATTTTTGCGAACAAAATAATCTTTGAAATACTTACTTTCCGAACGGGAATTCCTCATAATCAAATTTTTTTTGATGAAAACACAATTTGTTCGATTTGCGCATATGCGCTGTATAAGTGGAAAAACTTGATTGGCAGAGAAAATCAATGTTTCCTTTCTTTTTTTTCTGTTTTTTTTTTTTGGTGCTCAAATCGTTGCTCAATTTTCTGTTATATATACGTCTGTTTGTTATTTTTTTGCTTTTTTTGCTTTCGTGTGATGAATTTTCATCTTGTTTAATTCATTTGTTAATTTTCGAATTCCCGAACATTTTTCATTGATTTAATTGATTGGAATATGGATACTACAAGAATCAATAATAATCCAAATACAAATCCATCAGCTATGATGAATATATTTGATCTATCATTACGTTTATCAACATCAATGATGACAACAAAACAAAATAATAATGATCGTAAAGAATATGTACGTATACGATCAACATCATCATCATCATCAAATGAAATGGATTCGATAGAACAATGTGCTATTTGTTTGGAAGATATACGTGAAAAAACTAGATTAGTACCTTGTTTACATCAATTTTGTCAATATTGTCTTTTTCAATGGATCAATGTTAAGCTATATTGTCCTGTTTGTCGTCAAAAAGTGGATAAATTAATGTTTAAAAATGCAAATAGTTATGATGAAGTTTTAATCAAATCAAAACCAACAAGAGTAAATGATGATTTTAAAGATTTTCTTTTTCAAACACCTACAATGTTTAAAGTAGGATTGAAATGTTTACATGAATATTTTATGAATCATGCTGATCTAAAACAAGTTACAATCAATAATAATGATGATAATCAAAAATTACCAATAATTAGTATTGAAGATTTTCGTCGTGGTCTTTATGGTTCATGTAGTAATCGTATTATATGGATATTTTTTCGTAATATGATTTATCAATATAATCTATCACCATATCGTGATCAAAATCAAAATCGAATCGGACCAAATATAATTCGTGATGTTTCATTGAATTTTCTACGTGAACGACCTGCACTTGTTTCACGTATTGTTGAATTTGCTAAATTTGATTTGGAAAATTTACAAAAAGTTTTAAATTTTGAAATCGATACCGTTATTTATAATGAAATTCAAAATCTTTTGCTTATTTATGATCTATCAAGTAGTGAATTTCGTTTTAATTTACGTTCATTAATACAAAAATATTGTCAAAAAAGTACGGATTTTTCCTATAAATTCTATAGTGAATTAAATAATTTTGCACGTAGTAATCGTACAAATGCTATTGAATATGTACAAAATACATCTTATATATTACAACAAAGACATAAATTATCGGCTGAAATTATAACATTAACTGAATCATCATCATCTGATTCGGATATTCAAATACTTGGTGGTGGTACAGATTCAATGAATAAACGTAAAAGAAATAATGATGATGATCAAAATCTTATTTTGTCTACACCAGGACCAAGTGGTCTGAAAAAACATAAATTAAATTATCATCGAAATAAATGTCAAACCAACAGCACAAATAATAATCATCATTGTAATAACAATGGAAATAATAATGTTCGTTTATATACAAAAAAAGATGTTCATGAAATGCGTCGTATGATACGTAATGCACAAAATTCTGAATATTTTTTTCGTAAATTATTATTAGAAATTAAGAAAAAATTCTATAATCTTGAAACAATACTTAATACAAAACATTTCATACATTTAACTGAATATTTTAAAGATATACTTTTATCATCAAAATTATATCGTTCAAATAAATTAAATAATATTGCATCAAAACGTACATTAACAATTGATGAAATTAATCAACGTTTGAAAAAAAATTCACAAACAACAACAAGTTCATCATTATCACGTTCACCACATAGTTCATCTGAAAGTGATAGTATTTCCGATTGTCAATTAATATTGGAACAATATGAAAATGCTAATCAAACACAATTAAATAATCAGATTATTAAACATGCATTATCACCATCACATTCAATTACAAATCAATTATTAATGATGCCATCGATTAATAATATTCAATTTGAAAATCATATATATTCGGAAAGTGATTGAAAAAAAGGATTTTTTTCTTCATCGTTATAATCATCATTATAATTATCGTCATCGTCATTTGTATTACTAAACATTAATTACTTTCACAAGTTGTATTTTTTATTATTATTATTATTTGAATAATTTTTTTTCTTCAATAGTTATTTGCGACATTTAATACATTTAATCTTGTAAAAAAAAATTTTCTTTGAATGGATCAATTGTCCAATATCATCAATTATAAGCGATTATTAAAATTATTATTAATAAAAAATAAATTCAAAAAGTTTTAGTAATTTTTTTGTTTTGTAATTTTGTTTTATATATTTGCGCTTGAAAAGTAAAAATCACAGATAAGTGGCTGTGGTTGTTGATGCAGGTGATGATGTTGATGATCCACGTTGACTATCTTGATAATTATTGGCTGTTGTTGGTGATGTACGACTTTTTCTTGAACGTGGTGTTGGTGTTGGTGATAAATAACGACGATCAGATTGGCGATTATCATAACCATCATTATTATAATCATCATCATTATTATAATCAGGTGTTAATGATGTTTGTCTTGTATTATTTTCTTCATCATTTTCTTTTAAATGTGAATATTGTAAACTAGCTGTTTGTATTTGATTAAATGAATGTACTTGTAATGTTTCACAATATTTTTTTATAACAATCGGTATTAATTTATCCAATATAAATATAATATTTTTTCTTATAAATTCTTCCATAAATCGATTATCATTATTATTATTACGATTTTCATAAAGTGAATCACGTAAATAATTCATTTGCCATTGAAATGATTGTACAAGAATTTTGTTGATAGCACGTGTTGAATATGGATCATGCATTAATTTAAGTAATTCTTTTAATGTATTTAGATATGATTTTGCAAACGTACATGTATTATAGCTTAACATAATTTTATATGAAATTTTCGGATCATTATTATTTTTGATAATAAAATCCTGTACATCCAAATCATATTCATTCATTTCAGCCAAAAATTTATTCAATTTAATTTTTGTTTCAAATGTTAATGGTTGTATTGGATTTTCATTGGCACGTAATTTAATTGCTTCCATAAATTTATTATGAATTTCTTGTATTAAATTCTTTATATCATTTTTTAATGTTTTATTCAATACAAATAATAAATCAATACCGATTGTTTGTCGAAGTTTTGTACATTGATTCATTGCTAATGAAATACATTCAACTGCGGCTAATGTATTCACCTGATTAATGAATACATGTCGTGGAAATAAAGCCAAATAACGTTGAAATTCATCATAAATCCATGAATTCAAACATGCTAATGCTGTATGACTATAAGATGCGCTTAATGAATTATTATTTGTACATTTTATATTATTACCAATAATAAATTCATCACTATTTTGCCAATTTAATGATGAATTATTTGATGGTTGATTATTATCATTATTATAATCTTGATTAAAACATTCTGATTGATCAATTTCAAAGGCACGTAAAAATTCTTTTGTTGTTTTAACAAAATGACTAAAAAATAAATTTGTCATACGTTTCATGAATGATATTGTAGCACCATCAGTAATTTTTTGTTGTTTAAAATAATATTTCAATAAACGTTTTCGTTGATCTAAAAATAATCTTATTGCTAATGATGATTTACCTAATTGTACCAATAATGCAACAGCACGACGTGATGCACGTGGTCCAGTTTGTAATGAACGATCAGCAGCAACATTTAATTCACTACTTAATGCTTCAACTAATTCCGATATTTTATTATCAATTTTCAGTTTTAAATCAACATGCATTTGATTATCACACCATTTTGGATAAATATAAAAATGTTCATGTGCACGTGTAACCAATTTAACTGCTTCATCAAAATTACGTTGTGCAATATAAACATCAAGATCATCAGGTAATTCAACTAACCATATTGGTAATTCAAAATCCATCATTTGATTATTTTCTTCTAATAATTCATTATTTTCTTCAAATGTTGTTGTTGTAAATGTTAATGGTGATGATTTTGTTTGATTCATTGTTGTTGTTGTTGTTGTTGGACTTAACATAAGATTTGAATAATGATTTCCTCCTCCAATTACATTTGTATCCGTTATTGATGAACAATTATTTGATGATTGCGATGAAATATTATAAAGTGTATCATGTCGTTGTAAACGAAGATATTTTTTTGCTGCTTCAAATGCATCAATCCATGCTTTCTTTTTAGCAGGTGAATTTGTAAGAAATACTTTATCAGGTGGTCCCATCAGAATTTTGAATGCCATTTCAAATTTATTATAACGTCTATCTTTAACATTAACAACAGCAATCAATTCTAGATCGATAATTGATTGAAATTTATATTTTCGTATTGGTATTTGATTGAATGATGTTTTATTTGAAATTGACATTGTACGATCAATATTAACAGTTGAAATAATTAATGCATCATTCAGTAGAACAAGATAAAGATTTTGTATTTCGGAATAATTTTCATCCAATTCAATAACTTCACCATCACAATAAACCAAAGAATTTTGTCGATTATTTAACATACCTGAACCACCTTCAATATTATCGATAATTGTACGAAATTCTTTTGTTGGTAATGGACCATTCATTGTTGATTGTGACATTTGTAACATTTTACGTTCACGTTCTTCTTTTACTTTTTCTTGTGCTTCTTTTTTTTCACTTAATGTCAGGCCGGTTTTTGATCCACCAATTGAAATCGATAATAATGATTCAAGTAATTTATATTCATCATTCAAATAGCTACTTAATTGTGACATTTCACTTTTTAAATATGATATTTCTTGTGATGTATCAATAAATAGTTGATAATTTTTATAAACATTTTTTTTCAATTGTGTATTTGTTTCATCGGCACAATTCTGTACAGTTTTACGTGCATTTAATAATTCTTCTAATGTAACTGATGATTTTGTTGTTAAATCACGAACATAAATCATTGGATCTCTTTTTATCTGATTGATTGATGGTGAAAATGTTGTATATTCATCCATTGTTGTTGTTGCTGTTTTTTTAACGCCACCAATTAATAAATCGAATCGATAAAATATTAATCTGGAAAATCAAAACTGGATCAAAATTATTTTCAAATAAAGATGTTGTTGATGATTTCAATATTTTCAATTATAAATTCTTCTTCTTTTTCTCATAATCAGATAATTTGTTTTGGTTTTTTTTTCTTCGAATGATACTCCTCTCATCAAAATAATGATGATGATGATGATGTCGCCCATTGAATTACTTGCAATGTATAAATATCATTTATTTTAACACATTTTGCCACATTGTGTTTATTTAGTTGTTCAACAATTGGAAAAAAAAATATAATTTTTTAGAATTTTTAAACAATCAATATTATCCAAGATTACAAATTTTTTTCCAAATAATTTATACAGAATATAATTAAATTATTAATGAGAATTAAGTTTTCAACGAAAAAATTCAAATTTTAACATTGATTCAAGAATTAAAAAACCAAAAAACCTTTTCAGTAACTGTTTTGTAAACAGACAGATTTTTTCACAAATATTCCATCGTTGGGATGAGAAAATTTAAGATCATACTTCAAGGGATCTATTGAAGTGTGTTTCTTCAGCTTCATGAACAACATGAAGTTGACTGGATCCACGATGACGAGGTATTGGGCATCTTCCTGAGCGCGAAACCGAAGCTTGGCTTTTTTATCGATTTCGATTGATTTGATTGCCTTATGCTTCATTGATGAACGTTTTTGTGTTTCATTATTGAATCACAAAAGGGAAGATGCTCGTTCCGAGTGGTCCCCATTAATTAAATTTAAAAAAAAGGTTGCACAATGATTCAACTGTTAATCAAACAATCAATTTTATTGAATTGAAAAAATGGGTTTTTTACAATTGTAATAAGTGTCTTTGAATTCGATGTAAATATTTAAAAAAAATGACCGTGTCCTGTGTAAAATTGTGTAGTGTAAAAAATTTGGTTTTATAAATTTAGGTGAATAGAATGATGAGATGTAAATGTTCAATGTCTGTGTACCTGTGCATACAATTGTAATATCATCGGCATATGCAAAAATGTGTGTATTTTGTATGTCAAAAGAATTTAACAACGTGTTAATTAAAATAATCCAGGGGAAAGGGGACTGCCTTGAGGACATCCTTTTGACAGAGATTTTGTTTTCGTTTGAACAAAACAAAGATTTTATATAGTCTGGGTCATTTACAAGATTTCAATAAGTTGGTTGATGATAATTGAGAAACTTCTACCGAGCGGTCGCCTTCTCCTGAATCCATGTTTTGTTGGTTGGTATTGGAAAAAAATAAAAGATAAATTTTATTCATTCTTCTGATTTAAAATAGTTTGGGTCATTACAATTTTAGATGAGCATTTATTACAAAAAGATTAATAAAAAATTTAAAAATAAAAATTAAGTCGCCTGGTTCTTCTTCCAAACCAGGAAACCCTTCTTCTACATCCAAGAGAGTTCCTCTTACTCCCCGTTTTGGATTAAGAATTTTATGTGAATAATTTATTTACGCCTGTTCGGCAAATGTCAAGTTCGAGAAAACAAACACAAAATTAAGAATTTTATAAACATGAAATAAAAATTTCTCACAAGGAATGCTGCTTGTTTGGATGATTTCCATTGAATAAACATTATCAACAATTAAAACGAACGAGTATTTTAGAAAATTCTAAATTCAAACTTTTGTAAAGTTCTATTTTCTATTTGGCATGCCATCATTTTTTTTCAATTTGAAATCAACGACATCTATTCTTTTTGATAGAAAACAAAAAATTACATAACGTAAGTGTTTAACATGAAAGAATTTTCAAAAAAAAATATGTGCACAACGTAAGTGTTTGTGATGTGAAAAAAATTTTGAAATTTGTTAATTCTTTCAAAAGAATTAACGAACCGTCCTGTCAAGGGCTGAGACTCAATATATCGCAG